ATGGTGATTTGGACGACGCGACGGGAGGAAGTCTTGCGAGGGCAACCGTCTTTCTCATCAGGATCTGGCCTATTCTTTGAGCATCAGCTCAAGATGAAGATTAGAACTGATAGAAAACGATTGCATTCGACAGTCTTCAGCGAAAAGTGGGTGAAAGAGGCGAGCTTGGTTCGTTTGAACGGGGCTAGCCTTTGATTTTCTCTTTTTAGGTCAAGCCTACGTCACATCGGGGTGGTTTCCTGAGGAGCCCTCCCCTGGTTAGGTTAGACAAGCTTTGGTGTACCTAGTTAATGTGAGTAAATGTGATTCCCGGCCTGTTCCTGGCCACTTTTTTGGTTATGATCCAGTTTGAGATTCCCAACCTCCCCAGTTTGTTTTTGGTCCCCCCCCTTTTTTATCTCGTCTGGGTCAGCGTTATATTCTCCCATGCCCGTACGATTTTTCTTATCCGTTCCCCACACCCTTAGTGAGAGAGCCTCTTGATTTTGTCCCATGGGCAGAATACAGCGGCCTCTTTGTATTTGAGGGTTGGACGGGCCCTACTAACATCAGTTATGTTCAATTTGACTTATGTTTATATTTTCAGTTTATTATTGGGTTCATCTCCTCCTCTCATCCCTCATCACGAGATTTTTATATATATACAATTATCATTAAATTTTTAATTGCATGGGGCGCGTTTTATAGGTCCCCCCTTGTGAGGATGTGGTATTATGGTGTAAGGAGGATTGTTTGGTGATGGATGAGTTCTTGTGGTGAGTGAGCAAATTGTAATGAGTGAATGGGTCGTGAATCGGATTAGCTAGGTATAGGATAGTCAGTGAAGACCAGCCTTAACCCCTCCCCTTTTCAGGCCTTGTGCCACAATTGTATTTTTCGATACAATAAATACATCAAAGTGTAGTACGCTGCCTTTGTGAACTTCCGGTGCTTTTGTCGAGAGTGTTACTCTTCGGCGCGATCCCCTCTCCACGGTCGATCCGCCTTGGAAGGTGTAACACCTCTCTGACCTGCTTCGCCTAGTGATACGCTCTGGCGCGATCCCGTTTCCGCGGTCGATCCGCCCTGTGGAGCCGTATCACTGTGCTGCCTTGGCCCTGTTTAGGGAATCCGTCTTCGCCTGGTGATACACTTTGGCGCGATCCCGTTTCCGCGGTCGATCCGCCCTGTGGAGTCGTATTACTGTTCTGCCTTGGCCCTGTTTAGGGACTCCGTCTTCGCCTGGTGATACACTTTGGCGCGATCCCGTCTCCGCGGTCGATCCGCCCTGTGAAGTCGTATTACTGTTCTGCCTTGGCCCTGTTTAGGGACTCCGTCTTCGCTATTCGACCGAACCAGCTACGTTCGCCGACCAACCCTAAACTACCGGGCCAGACCAACCCTAAACTACCGGACCAGACCAGCTACATTCGACCAAACCAGCTACGTTCGCCAACCAACCCTAAAATACCGGTCCAGACTAACTACATTCGACCGAACCAGCTACATTCGACCGAACCAGCTACATTCGACCGAACCAACTATATTCTACCGAACCAGCTACGTTCGCCGATCAACCAGTCATACCGGACCCAACACCGATATAAATGTGTTAATAAATTCGACACTTTTGTTCATAACAAAAACCTTTGCCTTTGTCCCGTCATTGTCTTGGCTGTTCACATTTATCGTACATAAAAACCTTGCGGGGGCGACATCCTACTCGGCCCCGCAACAAGTGGTGACTTCCCGACGTGAGACAGCTAAGCGATGATGGACTCGGCTAAAAGTGATTCTGTGGACATGACGGCTGCGATCATACCTCTGCCTGCATACCACCACAATGCCAAGAATTGGTTCTTGCAGGTGGAATCCATCTTTTCAATGCTACGCATTACTTCACAGCGAGCCAGATTCGCGAACGTAATGAAAACTCCCATCCGTTATGATGGACGAAATTTCTGACGTCCTCTCCGATTTGCGCGAGCATGAACCATACGATCACTTAAAGGAAGCAATCCTCAAGCCAACCGGACGTTCCGAGGAAGATATGATTCAAAAATACTGCGGAACGTCACTAGAGGCGACAAAACGCCATCCCAGCTTCTCAGATATATGAGGAACCAGCTGGGAAAGCACAACGTGTCAGAGAAGGTTCTTCGAGGTTTATGGCTGGAGCATTTGCCTAAATCTGTCGCTCAAATCTTCGCACCAATGACGAGAGCCACGCCTCTGGACGATTTGGCGGAATCTGCTGATCTAGTTTTCGCACAGTTCGACCACAGCGTTAATGCTGTTCGCGCCCCCGACATAGCAAAGCACGAACGCTACGAGCCGAGTAAAACAGATCGGGCGTTGGCCGACCTTCAACGGCAAATTCGGGAGCTCCAGATTTCCCTGCGCCCGCGGACGAGGACATCGACCCCATCTCGACGGAGACGAACCCCCAGCCGAGAACGGCAAAGCGACCAGGGTGTTTGTTGGTTTCATCGCACATTCGGCGATGGGGCCAGGAATTGTAAACCTCCCTGTACACACCCGTCGGCCCGGGGAAACGAATAAACCGGAGAGTCGCGACGACTAACTCTTCCGGTGCCAACACGCAATGTCGTCTATTTTACGTTTGGGATCGACGGAACAAATTGAGATTCCTAGTGGACACAGGTGCGGCCATCAGCGTGGTACCCCTTCAGAACGACCACACCGCTAAGCCCACCCCTGGTCAAACTACGAGCTGCGAATGGTTCCGCGATAGACACGTACGGAAAAGGACCTTACTTTGAATATCGGCATGCGACGCGATTTCACTTGGACATTTACCGTGGCCAACGTGAAGGTACCCATCCTCGGCGCGGATTTCCTGGCGCATTACGCACTGGCGGTCCATATGAACCCTAGGACTCTGTCCGATACGACTACGAATCTCCGTGTCTTAGGTACCCCTACACGTCAAGGCTCCACAGGAATCAGCGTCGCAACATGCCATGGTCGCGAGTACTTAGATCTCCTGACACAGTTCACGGATATAACGCTGCCACCCAAGTAACGGCTTCAGGTGACCATCAGACTCAGCACCACATCAGAACCCGAGGTCCTCCCGCACACCCCATCCGCGACGACTCGCTCCGCACAAACTGGCGTACGCCAAGGAGCAATTCGACAAAATGCTCAGTGATGGCATCATTCGTCCTTCCGATAGCCCTTATGCCTCGCCACTACACTTAGTGCCTAAACCTGGTGGTAAAGAATTTCGGATATGCGTCGACTACCGAAAATTAAACGCATCGACCGTACCAGACCGATATCCTGTCCCTCATATCCACGATTTTGCATCCGGATTGATGGGGGCTCGCATCTTCTCAAAAATCGACCTGACGAAGGCATACCATCAGATCCCCGTCGCTGCGGAAGACGTCCCTAAAACGGCAGTCACAACACCGTTTGGCCTATACGAATTTCTGAAAATGCCGTTCGGTCTACGTAACGCTGCCCAGACCTTCCAACGGCTCATAGACGAAGTCCTGCGCGGACTTCCGCATGTATACGCTTATATCGACGACATCTTGGTGGCCAGTACAGACGCCGATTCTCACAGGCAACACCTGCGAGAAGTCTTCCAGCGACTCTCGCATACGGCCTGAAATTGAACCTGGACAAGTGCGTTTTCGGGGCGCCCAGCGTTGACTTTCTCGGGCACCGCACCGACGCAGAGGGCATAGCACCTCTGCCAGACAAGATCAGCTCGATCCGGGATTTTCCCACACCGACGTTCATGAAACAGTTGCGACGTTTCCTCGGTATGCTCAATTTTTATCGTCGGTTCATACCAAATTGCGCTACCATCCTCCAGCCACTGATGAACCTGCTGCAGAGAAGAAACAAGGACATCTCGTTGGAGGGAGATGCTCTGCACGCATTCCATACAGCGAAGGCTGCATTGGCGAATTATACTAGGCCTCTCTGACCTGCCTCGCCTAGTTATACGCTCTGGCGCGATCCCGTTTCCGCGGTCGATCCGCCCTGTGGAGTCGTATCACTGTGCTGCCTTGGCCCTGTTTAGGGAATCCGTCTTCGCCTGGTGATACACTTTGGCGCGATCCCGTCTCCGCGGTCGATCCGCCCTGTGAAGTCGTATTACTGTTCTGCCTTGGCCCTGTTTAGGGACTACGTCTTCGCTATTCGACCGAACCAGCTACGTTCGCCGACCAACCCTAAACTACCGGGCCAGACCAACCCTAAACTACCGGACCAGACCAGCTACATTCGACCAAACCAGCTACGTTCGCCAACCAACCCTAAACTACCGGTCCAGACCAACTACATTCGACCGAACCAGCTACATTCGACCGAACCAACTATATTCTACCGAACCAGCTACGTTCGCCGATCAACCAGTCATACCGGACCCAACACCGATATAAACGTGTTAATAAATTCGACACTTTTGTTCATAACAAAAACCTTTGCCTTTGTCCCGTCATTGTCTTGGCTGTTCACATTTATCGTACATAAAAACCTTGCGGGGGCGACATCCTACTCGGCCCCGCAACAGCCTCTCATTTTTCGAAATCCTGTACATTAGTTTCAGAAGTACTTGTTTGTGTCTTTGTTGCGGATGTTTCGCGTGCTATTTTCAACTGACTGACGCTCAACTACAGACTTTGCTTCCAGCCAACCTGTAGTCTAGTTACACTTGAGCAGGGATCGATGGTGAAGTGATGCATTTTGTCTTTTTCTTTTTTTGTCAGTTCCACCTCTACTTTCAAATATTATTAACATATTTAAATTTTGAAATTGAGATTTTTTTACACGTACATAAAAAAAAAATATATTCCCGAAAATGTTACTTGAGTAAAAAATATATATATTTAAATTCAACTGTGAACATACTGAAAGTTCTTCATTAATCTTTAAAATAACTTAAAACCCCAAAAACATTTTGTTTGAGAGTTAGTATTTGCATGACTGAAAATATCTTCTTTCACATTTGACACGAAAAATCCTAATTTGAATATCTATTTTAAAAAATGTATTTATAATTTTTCATTAAAATTCTAAAATTCCTCAAATTGCTGTTTGCACGAAGGGATTTTTCTATTAAAGGAAAATATGTTTTAAGAATGGGAAAAATATATAGTTTAACCATTTTCGAATGTTAACATTAGAAGGCGACTGGGGTTATGACAGCTCACATGTTACCGTACGTAAGTAAACATTATTTTCATTATGTTTTCAACAAAAAAATAAGTATTATTTTTACAAAATCTAGTCAGTCATTTCTTAATTTTACTAATTTACTTTGAAAAAAGAGACAAATACTATACTTTTAAGAGATTTTTAAATTTGTTATTTTCATTTGTCATCAAGAATGGAGGTTTGGTAAGTGACTGTGGCAATGTATTAAAATATTTTAAAAAGTTGAAATCTTATTTAAATTCGAAAAATTGTTTATTGTTGTTTACAAATTAGCTTTAAGTTGTTAAATTTCAAATAAAAACAAAATTGAACTTCAAAAGAGACATTTAAATTACTCAAAATGCGTTTAAATTTTCTTCGGGAAGCTGTTAGTGATATTTCATGAATGACCATTAAAAGTTCTATTTTAATTTTTTATAGACAAATAAGAATGTGCAAAATTTAAAAAACTGAAAATATATATAAGTGAATTTTTTATTTTATCAATTTAGTTAATTTATTTCTAAGGAAATAAGAAGATGAACCGAGGTAACAGCAATTTGAGCTGACAGTTGGGATAAAATAAATCTGCCGGCTCGAATTTATTCTAAAAATAAATAAATAAATTCCTTATAAATGTATCATTAAAGAAAATATAAAAAAAATCCATTTAAACTGTGTAATATACATCGATGAAACAAGTCAGATTTAAAATGCAGTTCAGCTGGCGATGTTCATTCAATCAATACAAAGTTCGATCCATTTTTTATTTGTTAGAATAAAAGCAAAACTGTCCTAACAAAATTTCTTTTGGTCACATACATGACGTTCTTTATTAAAGATCACGTCATAGTGCAATTCATTCCCAGAGTTGAAAGCCTATTCCACTGGGAGCGAAGATTTTTAGTTTAGGTTTCTGACTGCTTCAGAAATTCAAAGTAAAAAAGAAGAAATTAAGAGCATAATTAATTTGGTTCAAAAAGCTAATCCTCTTTATCTTGGTATATTTTTTCTTCACTAACATCTTATTACAATTAATATATATATTTGGATCCATTACTTTGCACCCCGTTAACAGAGGTATACGAAATATTATATGCATTTTAATCTTTGAATTGATTATGCTGTGGGGGCGATAAGGATGTCGCCCCCGCAAGCTTTACGAAGAAAGGTGTGAACAATGAGGAACAAAGGCAGAGGTTTAGAAAAACAAACGTCGGATTTATTTGTCGATCTGGACAAATGTACGTACAGGAACTGCTTGGTGTAGTTCGATCGTGAAGTCAGGGAGTGCGAGTTGAAGGATCGTTTTTGTGTTCAAGGCGGCAGCTCGGAGGCAGGCAGATGGAACAGCAGTATTCGAGGTCCAGTCGATCCCCGGATGTTCGCCCTTTGTAAAGAAGCGCGTCGGTGTTTTTGAAGAGAGAGGATCGGCGCAGACAGTGCTGGGGTCGCCTGTTCGTCCTTAGAATGACAGTCGTGTAAGAACGCGGCTTGGTAGTCCTTAAAAGGACTATCGCATAAAGACGGTTAGTTAGTCCTAAAAGGACTATCGCATATAATGTGGCTAGGTAGTCCTTCTCGTGGGGGAATGGGTAAATACCAGACTATCGCATATAATGTAGCCAAGTAGTCCCATCGGCTGTGTTTATGTCGGCTGCGGTTAGCATCGTTGCCGGTTGGCGATGTCTTTTGGTTGATGACTAAAAATTACCTTCCGCATTTTGACTGTACACTATTGCATGTAAGACGGTTAGTTAGTCCTTAAAAGGACTATCGCATATAATGTGCTAGGTAGTCCTTAAAAGTATTATCACATATAACGTAACCAAGTACTCCCAAAAAGGACCATCGCATATCATGTGGCCAGGGTAGTCCTTAAAAGAACTGTCGCATATAACGTGGCCAGGTAGTCCTGAAAATGAGTATCGCATATCATGTGGCCTAAGTAGTCCTTAAAAGGACTATCGCATATGTTCGGCTGCTGCTGCTGCTGAAGTTGGTTCGGCCAGCTGCTGCTGCTGAGGTTGGCTTGGCCCGCTGCTGCTACTGCTGAAGTTGGTACGGCCCGCTGCTGCTGATGATGTTGGTCCGGCCAGCTGTTGCTGCTGCTGCTCCTGAGGTCGGCTGCTTCGTGCGGTCAGCGACGAGGGTCGGCCAAATGAAGGTAAGAGGGAAAGCACGTCGCTTTACACCGGGGCCAAGTCAGCCTAGTTGGCCGAGTTATTTGGTGGGAGAAATCGGCTGTGTTTATGTCGGCTGCGGTTAGCATCGTTGCCGGTTGGCGATGTCTTTTGGTTGATGATTAAAAATTACCTTCCGCATTTTGACTGTACACATGGATTTCATTTGGACACCATGTGTATATAAAGTAGTTTCTGGTCATGAGGAGGACTTGTGTATGTTTATGTTTCATTTGTTTTGCTTTTTGTGTATCGTTCTCTGAAAAACGCTGAGTCACCGGAAATTAACGGCATTCGTTCTGTTTTCCGCGGTGACGCTTTCAGACGTTTGAGTAGCCGGCAGTAACTTCCGGCCGGGTGCGATAAGGCCCCCTTCATAGAGGACTGATCATATCAATCAATGATAATATCTATGAAGGTCATTAGGGAAAGTGACCCTCCTACCAGGACTGGTCTGTTGTACAGAAGTCGCTGCGGTAGATTGGTCCGGTAATCGTGGTAATGGTGCTCGGTCTGATCGCTGCTGGTCGTTGCAGGTGATCGCTGCTGGTCGTTACAGGGTGTATTGGTATGGTAACCAAGATAATGGTGGTCGGGCTGGTCGTATCGGGAGTTGGACTGGTCGTGTCGATAGTTGGAGATGAGGTGAAAACGTTCCGGTCGTGTCGACTGTTCGAAGGAGACTGCGGACGTTCTCGTCGTGTCGACGGTTAGACGTTGGGGTCGACAACGGGATGCTGAGGTGCGTTCGTTCCGGTCGTGTCGACGATTAGACGTTGAGGTTCAGATGTTCCGGTCGTGTCGACGGTTGGACGTTGAGGTGCAGATGTTCCGGTCGTGTCGACGGTTGAACGTTGCAGTGCAGGCATTGCCGGTCGAGGTCGGTGTCAAAACCTCCCGTAGTAATTTACTACGAATAATATACGGGGAAGGTTGATCGTTGCAGGTGATCGATTCTGTCAGATGGGAGCGATCGCTGCTGGTCGCTGCAGATGATCGCTGCTGGTCGTTGCAGATGATCGCTTCTGGTTGCTGCAAATGATCGCTGCTGGTCGTTGCAGATGATCGCTGCTGGCCGTCGCAGATGATCGTTGCTGGTCGTTGCAGATGATCGCTTCTGGTTGCTGCAAATGATCGCTGCTGGTCGTTGCAGATGATCGCTGCTGTTAGCTGGGTTGGAACGGGAGCTGGCGTTGTGACGCAGTGCTCGGTATCGGTGACGGTATCTGATCAGTGCCGGGGAGCTGGTGTTGCGATGTTGGGCATATCGAATGTCCAGTGCTGGTGTCGCGTGACTGCTGGTCGGGTCCGATATCGAAACCTCCCGTAATAATCATAACCGTAGTTACGGACGACGTGCGGGCAGCCAGTAGGGACGGAATGCCGAAAGTCAAACATGAGCAAGGAGCCAGTAGTAAGAAGGCGAATTCACTACTTGTGGCGGGGCCGATAAAGGTGTCGCCACTGCAAACTTTACGAAGAAAGGTGTGAACAATGAGGAACAAAGGCAGAGGTTTAGAATAACAAACGTCGGATGTATTTGTCGATCTGGACAAATGTACGTACAGGAATTGTTTGGTGTAGTTCGATCGTGAAGTCAGGGAAG